AGTAAACAATTGTTTTACAAAATGGTCTCTGTACGCTCTCTATTTTGTTTTTTTTTTTTTTTGCAAAGGTTTGATCAGGAAGATGGAGATGATATCCAACTTGGATGCAGAACCAGTGATCTTTTAACAGTATTTTATGGGTGGAACATTTTGAGAGAGTTTCCAAATTCCTAGCACTTTTAGTGGTGGTTATTGATGTTATTGTTGTTCTGATTGTATTTGTAACAGTTTGAGGGTTTTTTTTTTTTTACAAGCTTTTTAGCTTTTTTTTTTTTCCTGATGTTTCCTGGGTCATTTGTTGCTTCTGAGCTTGTCTCTTGACACTTCCATCTTCAAACGTGTATGCATGTGCTGTACCAACCTAGTCTGATGAATTTTGAGGCAAGTTAAAAAAAAATAAAAAAGGAAGAAAGGAAAAGTCAAGTACATAAACACCATCCTAAAATGTGGAATCTGATTCTTCTTGGTATCTTTCTTCTACACATGAGACAATTTCAAAGCAAGGGAGTGGGTGTAAATTTACTAAAGCTACAATGAAGCACTGCTATGGAAGGAGAAGTGCCGTTTCTCTGGGAGATGCTGTGGCTCATAGAATACATAAGAGCCCTTCAAAAAGGTGTTATGACTGTGTTGAGTCAATGGCAACCCAAAGGATGGAGAATATATGTGGCTGGATTTGATGTTTTCATCTCCCTGCTCTTTGAAGTCACTCAAGAGCAGCCCAAGAATAGATTGGGTAGGCTGGACTTTGTTTTCCATAGCTGAAGAACAGACCAGGAGATATAAAATCTGCTCCCAACCAAGCTATGGCTAAGAAGACACTGACCTTGCCACTTAAGAGCAAGCTGAAGAAGAAGATTGGAGCCTGTTTATACAATTCCTTGTACCAATGCCCAAGCTTCGCCTCAAAGAATTTAGTGGGGTTTGTGTTTGTTTGTTTATTTTCACTGGATTTTCTCATTTGCTATCAGTTCTGTGACATGAAGAAACCTAATTTGCAGTCTGATTTTACTCGTAGTCAATGAGTTTACACCTGGCCCAGGTCCATAGGGACGTTTATTTACAGTAATACTTACCAAAGTGACTCTGCCTTCATCCCAAAGAGACAACCCCATCAGAGACCTGTTGGGGTGGAATTATTTCCTTTTAATAAATCTTGAAGATGTTTGATGTTATTTTCCCCTACATTTAGTGAGATACCCCTTCACACTCTTTCCCCAGCGTAGATGCTGCAGAGGTTACTGCAGGCAGTAGTGGGGGTGGAAAGAATCTGTCAGGGTGCAGAGGCGTCAGCAGATATTTCAGTGTCTTGCTGCATGGGGAGCTCATCCTGATGATCAGGATGCACTTGGAGATGTATTGGCAGCTGCAACCCACCTGCCACTTCGCCTGTCCTTGCTGCAGTTACCTCAAGGTGCTGAACCATGAGGGCTGTCAAATGGACAAATTTCTCTAGGGCAAGATCATTAAAGGGGAATGATTTGGGGCAGCATCAGCATCAGCTGGCGCAAGGAAAGCAGGAAGAACCTACCAAAGAAAGAAGGCAAAAAACAGATGTAAGTCCTGATGTTTATAGGTGGATAATCCTTTGGAAATGCAAGCTGGCATTCCTGGGATAGACTCCCTTGCAGGAGATAGGTAAAGACCTTGGAAGGATGCAGTTTGGAGAGCTACCAGAAACGAAGAGACCCTTGGCAATCAGGAGGGCTGAAAATCCTGGTGAACCTCCAAGATGTGAGCCAGCTTCCCTGTAAACAGAGCTGGGGTTTTAAATGGGATTCTGATGTGACACTGTAATGAAAGAAGGTTAAGTGGATGCTTAAGTGCTGTGCTGAGTTAGGCACTTAATGAATGACTAATTAGTTCTGTCTCAACTTAATCTGCTCCTGGAAGGCCTTTATAGTGCTCTCACATTGATGGCCCAAAAACATAACAGCAAGAGCTAGCCCCTCCAGTCCTAACAACCCTTCTGCAGGGAATCCAAAATACCAATTGAAAAAATGGGGTTAATTGTGTGCCCCTGAAATCTGTTATTTGCTCACTGGCAAAGTAGATGAAGAGTCATTTGATTCAGAGCTGGAAGGACTTTTATGATGGATGAGCCTGACCTGTTACATATCTCTACCAGAGAATTTCACCTATGCATTCAAGAAAATAACCAAAAATATGATTGAAACAGAACTTGCTAGCTTTCAGAATGCATTGCCAGGGTATTACTACTTCTGAGTGCTAAAGATTTTCCTGCTTTTCTTGGTAAACTTTTTCATTGCTTAATTAAGCCCATTGCTCAAAAAAAATACAGCCCATCCTCCCTGACACACTGTCCCCTCCCTGACACACAGTCCTTCACTTCTGCTTTTTAATGGTGTTTCACCTTCCAACCCTGGGATGTTTTTATGCCTTTGACTCTTAGATTAAGAAGACATCTAGCACTCATTCTTTACTATCTGTAGTGTTATTTATAGACCTACAAATAAATGTCTCCTTAACTTTGGCCACGTGAAGTACACTGAACCCCATAAATCTGTCACCGCAGGACATGTTCTCCAGATCTCAAGTTGTTCTTGCTTCATGTCTGTCTGATTCAACCAGACTCAGTGTGATGTTTCCTCAGCAGGTCTGAGCTTTTTCCTGGAGTCCCTGGTACAGAAGAGGGTTCAGAGGCATAAGGTCAAATGAAACAACCAGATTCCTTCAGATTCCTTCTTGCTGCAGAAATCACATTTTGTGGCCTGACTTCCCCTTCACCAGAGCAGAAATCATTTGTTAAGTCATTCCTTGTACTTGTGGTGAGCTTTAGTAACCACGAAAGTTCAGGTACTAACAAAAGGGCTGTGAGTAATTGCCCAAGAAGATGCAACCAAGCCTCTCTGTTGACCTCTGTTGTTCTTCCTTAGAACACTTGACTCTGTCCAGCTGGACTTGTGCAAAAGGAAGCCCAGCTAAGTCTCATTTTTGGATTTGCCAGCCAAAGGGCAGAGGGAGTTGAATGGATGCACTTTCTTTCTGGCATAGACCTAATGTGTGTACTTGGGGGAGGTGTGATGTTCTCCAGCTTCTTGCTGTCCTGTTGGTTTTTGCCCAGCTGCTTGGTCTGTGCATCCATCAGAGCAGGGCCATGACACAGTGAGAGGTCACCAGAAGATCATGAGGCAAGGAGGAATCTCATCCTGCTCTCAGGATGAGATTCTCCCATGCTGCCTCAAAACATTGTGGATTTTGGCTGACACTGTCCCAGCTTAAGTCCAAGCCAGAGCAGCACTGAGCAAGAACTGACTCCACTTCTAAGCTCCTGAAG